TTTTATGTTATTTCATCAGAAGGTATTTTGTGAATGCTGCTGAGTGGTGCTCTGAGGTCTGTGGTTGAGACTTTGATAGTCTTGTTAGTTTCTATCTTTTGCTGATATTTAGATGCAAAATCAGAGTTCTGAATGATGAATAAGTTTAGTTTTACAATGCTACTCCAGTATTTGTTACTATTTCTACTCTTAAAATTTATAAAGGTGTACAATATCAAAGTAGCAAAAATTTTACATCATTTGAATATTTCGTACTTAGAAATAGCAGAATAACACACAGACACACACTTAAGCCCCTGGGGCAAAATTCGGGCTATCCATGTGGCATTACCCATGAGTTTTCAATNATGGGCTGTATGATATAGATGCTCAACATTGGATAGCACGTTATAAGCCCCCTCCATGCCGCTAGCCTGAAAATTTAATTCAAAGTAATTTTTATGAAACGCAAAAAATAAAATAATAAAAAAAAAAAAAAACACACACACACACACACACACACACACCAGGATTTCACAATACGCCGATCAAGGGCAACTCTACGCACGAGACCCATGGTCGATATTCCCCTCCAGGTGGCGGTCCATGGCGTTCGACACGGCCTCGAGGAATGCAGCCTCAGATGAGCCAGGAAGGATAGAATCCGATGCTTCTCGGACCATCTGCTCGATTACGGACTCCTCCCGAACAGTCTCCCTGCACATGATGCTGCCGATGGCGAAGGGCGTGAGGCCCAATCGAGCCCCCTTCTTGAGAAGCATGGTGGATATGCGCAGCACACGGGCACACTCGAGTGGTGGGTCCCACCCATAGAATCTGAGTAAGGCAATGTCCTCCTCAGCATCCAGTGACTGTATGTAGTCAAGGGTTTCGGGGCTGAAGTGCTGACGGGCCTGGGGCCAGTAGAGCCACTCGAACGTGCAGTCCTCGAACTACAAGGTATATATACGTTGAAATGAGATTCTTGGAATAAAATGAGATGGGAGGCTTAATTTGAGAATTTGGTACAGTAAAATTATAACACATCAACGCAATTCTGGTTCTATAAGTTTCAAGCTAGTGTATAATGCAGTAAGGATTAATGACATAGTTTTCATTTCAAGGACAAATATCCTCAGTGTGTTACTACAGGAAGTGCTACTTTGCCTGGTTGAAAATACCGAGCAAGCTTGAAATGATTTAGGCTACAGGCTCTACAGCATGTGCAGTAAAAGTATTGTATAGTGCTGTATGACATTAGTATAAAATACCAGCAAAATCACCAGCAAGGCCTCAGAATCTTGATTTAAGATCACCACACTAGTTGAAAACCACTCGAAAAAATGGAAAACAATTAACAAAACTTTATCACAAAGACGTTATACAAAAACTACAAAGTTCTCGAAAAAAACAATTTGTTCGACAGGGACTTACGCTGCTGGGCAAGCAATAGCCGTGATCAATCGGAGTCAACACAACTCGTCCACCATCACCTTCGCTCCTCAATATATTCCCAGCATGCCTGTCAGCATTTGCCACCCTCATATCCAGCACAGCAATCTTGTGCACCTCCTCCACCAGAAAACTTCCGGGCCCCACATCCTCACAGCTTCCCATATTATCCACAAAAGCCTGAAGCGAACCGGACTTGAACCCCACATCCCCATTCGGATGATTAAAGCTCTCGTGAAGGCACCTAACGTAGACAGTCGGCGGGACCCCCGCGAATCCCCCGACCTCGCCGGAAAACTCGCCGGAAAACGAGCCCCGCCCGTTTTTCGGGTGGTCCAATAAGTAAACGGCACACTCTCGAATACCTCCTTCTCCAACCCTTGTCCCTCTCTTCAACCCTTCGCCGTCAGTCGAAATAGGCAGCCCTCGAGGGTTGTTCAAAGCCATAGGCTCCTCATCCGATGGCTTAAACACGGAAAGGCATTTGCCACCCGAGGCATCCAGCATGAAATAAGCGCCTCCGGTACCTTCCGGAGAGCGGATAGGATAATTCCCTTTGTTTAATCCTTCGAGAGTGGAACTGACGAGATTCTTGATCTCGGGAGGCACTTTGATCTTCGGGTTCACGAGCAACGGCTCCAAAATCGTGGGCTCTCTCGTCAAGTATGGTTCGATTGCCCCACTTTCCTTATTGTGTTCGCTTAAATCGGTCGGCTGTGGGGCAGTGATCGACAGCTCAAAATTCTTTCCGACAGGTAAAGCTCTAATTTTGGCATTTTTTCGCACGAACAAGTGAATTGTGGCGTCAGTCTCGTTTTTGGAAATATCGGCCAACAACCTCTGGTCCTCGATCGGCTCGCCATCGAGCAAGACCTCATCATAATCATTATCATCATCACAATCGGCTTCGAAATTCCTCTTCTTTGCTACCTGGCGCTTGACATAGCCGACGTCCCGATTTCCTTCGACATGAAAAGTGAACTCTTTCCCACAGCAAGTCCTCACGTTGATGATCTGAAGGTCCGCGAGTCGAAGGACCAAATGCAGAATGTTTCCACTGCTCACACTGTAGTCTTCGAGATGGGATTTGCTGCGGGCTAATTCTTTACCCCCACAGACCAGCTTTTGGTTCCTAGTGAAAATGCCTTTACAGGTCTGAATCCTGAGTTTCACGGCTTCTATGGAGTCGGATTTCAGGACGCGCATTGGGATTAGAGAGCCAGACATGGCCAGGTAAATCAAGATTGATTCTTGGCCGTGTTCGAGCGACCGAGAAGGTGAGAAAATCACGCCCTCCTCACGGACAGGTACAATCGAGACCAATCCAGCAGAAGACATGTCTGTAAATGATTTTTGCCCTAATGAAAGAAAAATCCCCAAATCCTGAAAAAGCCAGATCGAATCACTGGGAACCCGATTTCAGTCAAATTTCATGTTCTTTATATTCATTATCAACACAAACCTGTACCAAAAATGCAGACAGATCAAAAGCCCATACATTTTTTTTTTTTCTCAAAATGCTTAAGATTTTCGACAAATGGAGGCAATAACTGGACACAAACCCTTTTGAAATCGGGCCAATGAGATAATTAATTAGTGCAGAAATTAGGGATTTATGAAAAAATGAGAACGAATGAGAGGGGACAAGATTATTTACCGGAGAGCAAAATAGAAGCGGTTGCTACCGGCGATGAACTGCAGTGAGATTCACGGTCTCGCAGAGATTGTCCGGCAAAAATGCAAGAGAAAATGATGAGCTCTTTTCCCTGTTTATGGGTTGGTCTCAATCCGATTTTTTCGTGAAAAATGGAGGTCGTAACCGTTGGATATTTCGACGTTTGAACACGTATTGGCTACAGGTTTTGGCTCTTTACAGACTTGGTCCAAAGAATATCTGATTTTGCAACTTGTAACAATAACTATTTAAAATTTCATATTTAGTCCTTTTTTGTTTTCAGGGAATTTCTTTAACATTTTAAAGTGTTTTTTTAAGTTTATTATGTAAAGTTTTAAATTGGATAAATTAGTACAAACAAATTAGTAATTCATCTCATACAAGAAAAACCCAGTCATGACAAAAGTTTCTAATTTAATTAACGATAAATTTTAATTCAAATTTAAACTAATTTACGTCTGACGATGTATGATTTATTAATTTTTGATAATTAATATGTTGGTAATCGGTCCGTGAAAAACGTATTCATAAACACGTGTACAAGGAAAATATTTATTTTTAATTTTTCGATGACAAGATATTCGATTGCCGACCAACATGTGTCGTTGAAAAGCTTATAGAATGAGTATTTACCAAAGCAACTATCGGATTTGAGTTAGTAGGCCAAACTTAAATATTTGTCAGTTTGTTAATTACTGTCAGAATCTGACCTTTGAATTTTTATATAATTTACCTCGTTAAAAAACTCATCTCATATAATTTTTAACAATTCTCGATTGAAAATCGAATATACTCATCATCCAAAAAATTAAAATAAAGTATTGTCTTGCGCATGTGCCGCCTACCTTTATCATCAGTTAATTATTAACTATTCAATTATCATAAATCCATACAGTATACCACTTTTATTTGTGTCATCAGAGTTTCAAAAGACCTAAGTTAATTTTAATGTTCAGTTTAAAATTTATCGCTAATTGAGTTGGAAACATTTTTGCCATGTTAGGGTTTTTTTAATTGTAAATGACAAATTATCAATTTCGTATACCTCAAAAGAACACTTATCAACTTTGAAACTTTATATATATATATATATATATATATATATATATATATATATATATTATAAAAGACATAAGACTCGTTTGTTTGTTAGCGGAGTGATACTAAATTAGCAAATTGAAATTCAGTGACTATTCAAACTCGCTAATTAGCTTGTTTGTTAATGAACTTATTTGATTAGTTTTTTAGATAAAAAATGTTAAGTCTAAAAAAGCTCAAAAGTACAATGTTTAGGAAAGAGAGAGAAAAATTCGATGCTACATGTGGGGCACTGTCCCACATGCTTTTTTACCATTGATTTGCACATTCACACAATCCTAGTGTGTGTGTGTGAGATCAATGGTGAAAAAGCATGTAAGGCAGTGCCCACACATGTAGCATCAAATTGACGAGAGGATTAAAAAAGATAGTACAACGTAACATCTATAATTAAAGGAAGCTATCATCCCGTCACGGAATCAGTCCGTGAAAGTTTTTTAGCTATTGATTATCTACAATAATTAACTTTTATGTATATCTCATGATTAAAAACTCTCACAGAATAATTTCATGACGGTATGATAGCCTTCTCCATAATTAAATCTGTCAAATCAATTAACATAACTTATCATCCTCTATCAGCTACAAGTTATTTGCCAAGCGAAAAGGTTATTCTTTCCTTCTACGAATGGGGGAGCTCAAATTTGCCTAAAATGTTAACTTGGGATGAAATTTGGGCCGTTAAAATGAGTTAAGCCCAGATCCAAGGACCATCGAGCCCAACCCATTTACGGCCCAACTGCTAGCCTCGATAAATGATAAACGTCGATCGCGTTTATACTGAAACGCGTAAAGTTTCACAAGTTTTAAAATTTCAAAAATCGAAATTTATAAGACCGCAAAGAACTGGTCATTTTTTATAGCAAAAGCCACCCACCACCGCCAGTTCGCCGCCCCTCAACCACCGCCGCGAAGTTCGCGGTTCCCTCTCGTTTGAAATCCCTGTGTTCGATTTTCTCAATACAGTCTCCTCTCAAGTCATTGTCCCCCACCAATTTTTGATCTGCAGCATTTGATCTTTAGGAATCTTTCTCTAAAAACTGAGATCGAGAGGCTGAAGGCGAAATTTTGTGACCGGCGCCGTTTGGTGGTTTCCGAATCAACTCGCGGATTGGAGATCGGAGATGGAGAACCTCATTGCATTGGTTAACAGGCTGCAGAGGGCGTGCACCGCGCTCGGCGATCACGGTGAGGAGAGCGCGCTGCCCACTCTCTGGGACGCACTACCTTCGATTGCGGTCGTCGGTGGTCAGGTTATCAAATTATTGATTTATTGTATGAGTGTGTGCTTGGATCTAGTTTGTGTTTGTATTTTTTGTGACGATCCATTGGTGCTGAGTGCATCTAGATTTCATTGTTCATGATCATTTGATGTTGTTCGTCTATTCGGTATTTATGTGGGTACAAGTTTTGATCTTTCTGT